GTCTGCAGTTTAAAGTCTCCCCCTTCATGTCTTAAACTTTTCTTCGTCTACTACGGCCTACGCTTCTTTAGCTCATTTTAATTTACATCTTAATATTACCTGCGATATTCGATAAGCTTGTTTTCTCCTCTGTTTCCTTTCCTTTACTGACACTACTTTTCTTTTATTCTTCACGTGGCCGGCACAGCGGGGACTGCTAGTGCAGGGCACGTGGGTATTGTTCGGTTGACCATGTGAATCGTGTGTGTTGATCACTGCACTGGTTTCCCTGTTGGATCAACGACGTTTTCGAAGGTGGAACATTCGCGGGGTTTTCCTACTGTTCCGGTCCCACTTGAACTTGTACTTCTCTTTCTGACTTTCGACTTCTGGAATCGGAAAGTCAGCTACCAAGATTAGTGGTTCCCCATATCTTTTGCCAAGGTGTCAGGTGGTTTTTAATCACGTGCAGAACTAGAACATCTTGGAACGTTCGAACTCGCTGCGATAATCGTTAATAATCGATTAATCGCTAAAATAGTGGATTTCCTAGACAATTCTTACTTTCTCCCGAACATCCCCACATAGTTTCTATATCTTAGGTACCTACGGGGCTCCCGGCTCTATCACAGGCTTTTATATTACTCATCCTGTTCTAGGCGTCACCTCTTAGCTTGCTATGGAGAATTATTTCTCCGCACGTCGCTGCGCTTTGGCTTCCTTTATCCGGCTAGAACATACCGGCTTCCGGCACCATCACAGGTTTTTTCATCACTCAGTGTGCTCTAGCCCTCACATCATAACATTTTAGGACGACACACTTCTCTGCGCGTCGCAACACTTTAGTCTCAATGAACAGCCGAATGTGAACTGTCAAATTGGCTGGGTTGTTCATTTTATCGAATTTGCGTGGGGACAAACGGTGCTTTTTTGCCATTGCAACCTATGCGCCCACAAATTGTAGCGCTGACTCGATGTAAGACGACTTCTCCCATCAATTGAACGCGCTCCTCCGTCACAGAAAAAATGCGCATACTCTGATACTTGCTAGTGATTTGAACGCTCAAGTCCGTAAACTTTCTACTGCTTTCATCTGGGCGGCCAACCAGGTGTAGGTTCCCGTAATGATAACGGTGAGCGATTGCTACACGTGTGTGAAGATGCTCGTTCCTTTTTTGCGAGCACTTACTTCCGATAGCATCCGCCGGAGGGTGACATGGCGCCCACCAGCTATCAACGCAAATCGATCACATCGCGATCTGTTACCTCTAGAGAGGATGCTTTCAAAACTGTCTTTCGATTTAAAGCACGAACGTGGACTCTGATCACGCACATGTTAGCGCCGACCCCGGGGTGCGTTCCAGTGGACGTCCGCAACGGCATGAATATTCGCTAGCTGGCGAAGTTAGATGTTCTGAATGCGTATCAAAGTGCGCTGGCATCTGAGCTGAATAACCCCCCATTGAACACTGGTGGCATACCTGCCAGACCTTATTAGCAGCAAGCCTGTCTCCATGTGGTAAATCGAATTTCCAACCTAGACGTTGGGTTTCTACACAGTCTGAAACTTATGGATGCTCGCCGACGTGTTCCGGCTTTAAACGAATACAATGAGGCTCTAAAAGCTGTCAGGGCGGAAATACATGCTAGCCTGAAGAGCGACCGCGAGTCCTGGTGATAGGAGATGGGAATGGCTCCTGGGTTCATCTGTTCATCGAGCTTCGTAATTGGTATGCAAACGTTTCATCGCTAAACGAGGTGACTTCCTCAGTGCGCTGTTGGGTCAAATGGAATCCGCTGACTTGGTCGTCGAGTTGTGATCGATCAGAAAGTGACTTTTTAATTGAGCTCCACGATCTGTGCCGCGTGACGACCCGTCTGCCCAACATTTTTGATAGAAACCGGCGATGCTTGGGATAGTTTTGCCCCGGCCGTTGTGGCTGTGTTCTTGATGGCTTGTGTAGCTGCCCACGACGGTTTTTAAGCTGCCCTTGGTAACTATCGGATGTTCTTCCGTTTGGTACGGAAATCGAACAGCAGAAGACCTGGTGTTAACGAGACGATACGCAACGTGAGTGGACAACCGATCAAAAGCTTATCAAAGCGCTTGGAACGTTGGATTGAACACTTTGGGAAGCAGTATAATCAGTCAGAATTGCCAGTTTATCTATCGGCCAATGAGCGCTTTGCTCTCTTGCCGTTCCCTTGGATGCGCTCTGGTGCGCAGAAATCGAGTGTTCGATCAGGCTGTTGAAATTGAACAAAGCTGCCATAGCAGATGGACTTCATCTAGCCTTCTACAAATTTAAGGGACCTGCTCTTTCGGACGATTTACATAACTTATTAGTGAATCTATGGGAATAGCAAACGCCCGTTAGACTAGGCGCTCCGTAATAGTCCCAAATTTTAAAGGAGACCCTCATTCCGAATGCTGCAGCCATAGAGGAATCAGTCTGATCTCCATTGCCTCTAACTTACTTGCGTCTTTCGTCCTTCATAGACTGACTGGCACTCGTGAAAGCCAGATGCGCGGGGAGCAAGCCGGGTTTCGTTGAAATCGTAGTTGCATTGATCACATCTTTGGAGCACCGCCATATTCGCGACCCACAGCATTCGTGTTCCTGAATATCAAAGAAGCCTATGATTCGTTTGATCGATGTACCCTTTGGGATTATCTACTCTAGAAAGGTGTGTCCGAGCAATATGTAAACCTTATCTGAGCGCTATATGCGCATAGCTCGGACGTAGTGAGGGTTTATAGCTAGTTCTCGCCTCCTTTCAATATTTCCAGCGGTGCGAGACAAGGTTACCCGCTGTCATCTTTCCTCTTTAACTTCTCCGTTGACGAAGTCATGGAAACGTCGTCCGCCGGGCACGACTTGGAACGTGTATTGCTGCTCCCGGGTGAACGACTTCTCGACTTGGCGTATGCCGACGACAATGCACTCATTTGTGACAGCCCCCGAACGTGCCAAGCTGTATTGGATAAATTAACTTTGGCTGTCAGTCGTTTTGGGCTATGACTTGCACCATCGAAATGCGAATTTCCTCCCCAAATTGACAGGGACTCACTCCTGCACTGACCCTTACCGATGATAATTTAGATGTTGTCTAGAAATTCAGGTATCTGGTCGGCTATACCAGCGCCATTGGAACAGAAGATGAGATCACGAATTCTGTAGCAAAAGTTCAGTGCATTTTTGCTATTCTCCACCACCTGTGGCGCCTTCATGACATTACTCTCGCTCTGAAGGGCAGAGTGTACAATGCATCCGCCCGTACAACCCTCCTGTACGATTGCGAAACTTGGCCCATCAAGTCGACAGATATAAAGAGGTTAGTTGCGTTCGATCATCTCTGCCTTCGCAGCTTAGCTCATGTCTCGTGAGAACACCGCGAGAGCAACAAGCGTGTTTGACGTCATGTATTTGGTGCAGGAAGAGCACCATTATGTCACGCACCAGGCTCCGATCGCTGGGCCACGTTTTGTGCATGTCAGCCTACCAACTCCCACTTCGTGCGTTGTCTGTACTGTCGGTCGAGAGGAATGAAAACCCTCACTTTGAAGTTGGCGTCGTTTGGTGTCTCCCAACTACCCAGCTGGGGTCCCAAAAATTAGGAGCACTCTGGTTGGATGCACTTGCTAATATGGCGAAGAGTTGACTTCAGTGACGTTTGTGTTGTGGGTCTCTTTCTCCATTCTCATTCCCCCTCCATTTACGATCTCATACCAAATGCAAAATATTGTAATTAACATCGTATTACCTGCTTTTTGAAATTCCTTTATGGTTGTAATTTTTAATATCTTATCTTTCTTGTACTGCAGTGCGTTACCTGATGTGTGTTGTCATCAGCTAACGTGTATTGGTTGACTGATACACGCCTTGTTAGTGATCACAATGAAGCGAACGCCCGGTGCGGGACACCGCCGTACTGCCGACGCCCCTGGGTTCTGTCCTTGGGTTGTTAGATGACCCAGCTGCTACTTCCAACTCGGCATGCCAATCGGATTCCTCTTCATTGTCCAGCCCATCGTTCAGTTTACGCCGATTTGCCCGTTTTCTTTCTTCTCTGCCGTTTTCCTCCTCATAGAAACTCCCGTTGTTCCCTTACGTCGGATAAGCTGAAATAGCACTTATTTCCATTTCCCCTTGCTCTGACCATTTACCAACGCCTCTATCTTTAGTACTCTATTTCCGCACTATTTCGCAGTGTTACGACTACAGAATTGGACCCCTCCACAGAATCATGTTCTGCAATTCAATCAACACTATCGAACCATTGGCAGCTCGTAAGAACAAGTGTCCACCGATTACTTAAGTGCCGTTGGACTGTGATGTCATGCCACATCCGATAATCTCTGCTTAATCATGTGATCGGTCCCGATTCTCCTCTATATAGGGGACATTGCACCTACTGAATATTGAATACTGTGTTATAGAGCAAATAGAAATGAATTCTGTGCAACTCTTTTGGACTATGGTGAAAAACGTTATAAAACTTGTCAACCGTGAATATCGTTGTCGTTCTCATATAACATTTAAACTATCTAACTCACCATATATCAGGACTCACAAATATGATATGTCAACTTAAGTATGCAATCGTTCTCTGAATCGTATAGTGGTAAAATATAAATCTAACAACGTTTTGAACTGCTGCACAGATGTTGCCTCCATCACATGTTCAGGTAAACTGTTCCACTCTCCGTTCGAAGCACAGTGGGTGGGGAACACATTTCACATCCGGCACGACAAGTTTGCATCTGTGTCCGCGTGTGCTGCATGGCTCTCGTAAGTGCGACATTGGCCATAGCATTGGGAAGTCACCGAGAAGTAGAATACGGTAGGTCATAATGAGGTCGACTCGCATCCGACGGTAGGACAAGATGTAGAGTCCTAGTTTCTCGCACCGGTCTTCATAGCCCAAGCAACGTAAACTCAGAATGAGCCTGGTAGCAACGTGTTTTACCCGTTCGATCTTTTGTACCTTGCCTCGGGTAATCGAAAAGTCGGCGGGCGTATCGTACTCTAGCATTGGTCTAATGATAAAAGAGAAGAAGCGAGTGACAACCTCTTCAGACCATGTGCCGAAGCTACGTTTGAGTGCCCAAAGCATGTGCAGTCCGTTATGATATAGCCTGTTCGTGTTGTCCACGGACTTCAAATCGTAGCGTGAGAGTACACCTAGGTCCTTCACGGAGGGTGTGGGATATAGCGGTTGGCCGTTAAGGGTGTAGGTTCGGCCGTCAGCAACCTTCCCCAGGCTTTTAAATACAGACTTGGCTGGATTGATCGGGAGAAGAACTTCTGCAGACCATGTGGATAGGCTGTTGAGGTCTTGCTGAAGTACGCCCCAGTCATCGGGAGCGTCAATTTCTCTCCAAATCTTCATGTAGTCCGCAAACAAGGCACACGGCGACCGGAGAAGCTGCGGTAGATCGTTGATGTGGATCAGGAACGGAGTGGGCCCCAGCACAGTGCCTTGAGGCACGCCACTTGTAGAGGGATACCAGTCAGTTAGGTAGTCGTCGATCTGTACCCTGCATTTTCGTCCAACAAGAAAGTCGCGGATCCACCGATGCAGTGAGTCACCGACACCACACATTCTGAGTTTGTGAAGGAGAACCTCATGGCTGACATTGTCGAAAGCTTTGGTGAAACTGATGCATATCACGTCGACGGACTTCACCCTGCTTAGTGCCTTCATCCACTCATGCCTCGTCACAAGCAGGTTTGTAATGCATGAGCGACTTTGCATAAAACCGTGCTGTGCGGGCGTCTGGACCTCGTTTGACTGTAGCAACTGCAGCAATCCTTTCTTCGGGATTTTCTCAGCAACCTTTGCCAAAATAGGTGTCAGACAAATTGACCTGTAGTTGTCTACTTTGCTAGGGTCGCCGCCTTTCGGAATAGGCTTCACCACCGAACATTTCCAGTCAACGGGCAACGAACCTTCGTACAGCGACCTGTTGAAAGTGTCAGTCACGACAGGAGAGAGGATGGTCGAAAGTGACTTGAGAACCAGTGGGTGAAGCCCATCAGATCCGGCAGGTTTTGTGCCGTCAAGGTTGGCGAGTACTTGACCTAGCTCTTCAACGCCGCAATGCAGACTATGGAGTTCGGTAAAAGTGGTACACGTCGAGCTCGGAAAAGACACCTGGTTATTCGCAAATACAGAAGCGAAGTGCGCCGCCAACGCGGACGCACGTTGTCGGTTCGTCACCTTATACTTTCATCTAACCAGGGGATCTCTGCTGTGTTAGTCCAGGCGTTTGCTTTTATGCATATATATTACTTGAGTTCGGGTTCCCGTCCACCATGTTTTCGACTCCCGTTCAATTAATAACCCTGAGTGTAGTCGCTTGAGGTTGAATGCCAGGGAGACGTCAGTGTGGTTTACTAGCATAGTTTTGCTGCCTTTTCATCCAACCAAGCAAGACATCTGCTCTCAATGACTGTCATTGCACTGTTTGAGTCTAGTGTTTTGTACATACATTAATCTTTGTAAGGATTCTAGGTTTTTTTCCCTGGGTCTGCCTACTTGGAGGCTTTATAGCTTTCCTCATTATGTTGCATTTCCTGTTGGGCCTATGTTCCCTATTATCACTTGACGATGTCCTTTTTCGTCGTTGGTGAGGTGTGTTCAGTTAATTGTTGGACCATCCTTTTTGACGGCCTATTTTTTCCTTTACAGTCGATTACTTCACATGTCGGACGATATTCCCGCGTTATTGACTGAGATTTTAGCCTGCAAAGTTCCGAAGGAGGCCACCGAGAAGTAACCGATCCACTTCCACCAATTTTTTACAATGACAGATTTGCCAACTTACTCAAGATTGTTTCTCAAACAAGTGGTGATGTATTATTGCAGCACGTGAATCACATTGTTCTTGAGAGTGCGTGTGAATATTGCCCCTTTACTCCTGTCCTCCATCTCCAGTCTCACAAGAATCCGTCACCGTTATTGTGACCAAAAAACTTTGTGATGAATTGATTAGCTGTGTCAGTCGTATACAAGATGATCAGTTGGCTATGGATGCACTCCAACTCATTCTCAATCGAATGTTATCACGAAACATTGCTTTCGAATCGCAGGTCGGTTGGCGAGTTCGTATCATCCTCTCTCTCTCTTAACCACAGATTGTGGAACTTCGTGACCAGCTGTCTCGGAGGCTCGAGTCAATGGGTCGTCTCCGAGAGGCTGCTTCCGTTCTGTCCGAGATTCCACTTGAAAGTGGACAGCGGTGAGTTACCCGCTTCTACCATTTGTGAGCTGCCCCATTGCTTTGTAACATTTCACGTTTGTTTTACTTTTTCACTTTTGTCCCTGAAATGACGTGAAAACTTCGTCGCCTACATCAGCCGCGACTCACTTATGTTCGTACCTGTAAACCCATTATACTGCTGTATTACATCAAGGGACTGATGCCAAATAGTCATTCGTTCCTTCTCTCATTGGACCCAGTGCTTAGTACATAACTGAGGGCATTCAAACTTGGTTCTACATCGCCACTGTTCATCGGGTTGCTTAATCTCCATCTCATAGACAGAGATCACCCTGTGTAGCAGCATCTGACGCTGTTTGCTCAAAAGCTACTGAACAACATCAAGTTCTATGAGCCTTACAATATCTTGTTGTCCATGCCCAAGCATAATGTTCTCTTTAGTTGGTGATCTGAGTGTTCACTGTGCTCGGCAGTTTGGGTGCAAATGTTTCGTCACCACCCGAGGTGACATCGTCAATGCACGTTTATTTAGCAGAGCGGCCCGGTACGAAGCGTCAGTGAGTGTGAGTGATCGATCTTCTAACCGTTAGTCTGAGTTTGCATTGTTCGACGGGCACATGACCATCGAAATTGATCTCTGATTCTCGTATCGTAGCGTACGCACGCATGCCGCGCGTACCACGCAAAGAACGTGGTACATTCAGCTGAGCTGACGTCATCCCTTTCTTTAGAGACCACCATGTTTTGACAAACATCATTCTAGTTCCTGTCTCCTCGTGCCGAATCCGCCCACGTTTTTTGATCCTAATGCACGGTGTGGCTGAAGATATTTGAATCTAGGAAAGACGATTTAGCACTCTATCCCTCATGTTATCGTCGGTTGTCAGTTACTCGATTAGTGTTTTTTACTCACTCAGCCCATTATGTTGGTCTCCTACTCCTCCGCATCACTATCACCTTACTACTTGTACTGGTGGCTGAAAGCTGGAGTGGAAAGAAGCGTCTTCCCCAGTGCGTTCGATCGGCGATCGATCGAACGAGCTAGCGAGTTTTCAAATAACAGCTAAGTGTATAGAGTCTCAGATTTGTGAATAGAACGCTCGTCTGCTGACCCTTTATGATGTTTTCTGTTTACGCTATTGGTTGACCCAAGCTCGCAACATGGTGTTAGAAGTGAAGATGCGCCGAACCCCGTTTGCATTTGGTGGTGTTATCATCACACCAGACGCCATTCCGAAGTTGGCACTTTACTGCTCCACAAAACTTCTAGTCCAGCCGAAGGAAAAAGCAGAACACCAATACCCTTGATAAAATGACATATCAACCGACGTCAACAAACACTACAACTACCGCGGATCTTGGCTGTATTTATAAGTCTTTTACTGACTTTCGACTTCTGGAATTGGAAAGTCAACTACCAAAGTCAGCGGTTCCCCATAGTTTGACCGAGATGTCAGGTGCGTGGTAGTCACGTGTCGAACTTAGAACATTCTAGGACGTTCGAAATCAATGCGCTAATTGTTACTACCCGATTAATCGCTAAAACAGTAGATTTTCCGGGTAATTCTTACTTTCTCCCGGACATCTCTCTTCTTGTGATATCATTCGAAATATACGATGAAAGCTGAGGATTAATTTGCGGGCTTCCGGACGGTGTTCTCTGCCTGTTGGTCCATCTCATTGGCAGAAGTACCCGAGAATTGCGTGCCAATGTGCGTGATCTTTATTCTTTGCTTGACTGTGAGCAGTCGTTCACGGCTTCCTTCGGCAACTTGAAGATTTCCACCACTAAGTCGAACAGGAGGTCGGTAGACCTTGCTTGTTCTGGTTGACACATTGTTGACCGTAACTGGTTTGCATGCCGGGCTCAGATCTGTACGTCTACGATCACGTCATACACAACGTTTCCGCGCTTGTTTTTGACCGTCCCTGGCGTCCACTTCGCGTGGCCTTCCCGATAGTGACTTACTAGCACTTTCTATCCAAGTGTAAACGATCGTTTCCTTGTTCCCTTCCGCCGGTTAAAATCCTGTTTGATTCTGCGGTTTCTTTCACCAACAGGATTCCGAGTGCTGTCGGATGGCTTCCAAAGGCATTCGGAGCTTCCGGTTCATCGTAGCCTGTACTGGAGAAACGGTATCCGGCGCTTGTGGATTCGTTGTTGATCGGTAGAGGAAAAGGAACCGGTCTACCCCTTCCACTACACGTCCCTCCCCTTTTGATTTGTGGAGAGATCGCTTGAACGTATTGACAGACCTTCCTACCTGGCCATCATTCTGTGGGTGAAACTGCGGCGAGCGAATGTGCTGGACGACGCATTGTTTGCAGAAATCCGTAAAAGTTACCGAAGTGAATTGTGTGCGATTGTCAGTTACAATTGTCTCTGGGCAGCCGAATCTGCCAAATTTTTGGCGCATTTTTGATACAGGGGCATTGGTGGTTGTGCTATCCATGAGAAATATTTCAGGCCACTTGCTGTATGAGTCGACTATAATGAGGAAACTTCGGCCGTTGATCGGTTCTACGAAGTCGACATAGATGCAGCACCATAGTTTAGTAGCTTTTGACCATGAATAGAGCTCTGTTTTTTGTGGCGCTTTCAAGACATTGGCGCACGTTTGGCAGCGTTTAGCTATTTCTTCTAGCTCTTTGTCCATTAAGGGTCAGTATACATAACTGCGGGCAAGCGCCTTCATCCGGTGGATCCCGGGATGCCCGGCGTGGAACTGCCGAATAAGGTGCTCCTGAAGTGCCTTGGGGATGACCACTTTCTGAAAATAGTATGCAGTCATTTACAATAGAGAGCGAATGTCTCCACTGGAATTACTGTTGCAACTCGACAGATGGACATGAACGTGGCCAACTTGTTTTGTGAAACTGTGTAACTTTCTTGAGTACTGGGTCCCGGAGGTTTTCGGTTCGTACCGCTTCTGCGGTAACTGGTAGACCGTGCAATGCATTACTTACCAGATAGTTACGTCAGGTTTTATTTCGACCGAGGCAATTATTGTCCTCATGTTCTTGCTGGTGGGCATCAATTTGGTGTGACAGTGCATCCGCTTGGCCAATGGAAATTGTCGACTGATAGTGGATCTCGAAATCATACCCCATTAAGGTATGAGCCCAACGTTGTAGCCGCTTGGCTGTGTATGCCGGAATGCCCTTTCTCGAACCGAAGACAGTCAGCAAGGGCTTGTGATCTGTCAGAATTTTGAAGCGGCGGCCGCGCTACATTTTGTGGAATTTCTTAACCGTGAACGCTGTGGGCAAGGCTACATTCTTGTTGTGGCTGTAATTCCTCTCGGCCTTCGTAAGAGTTCTGGTGGCATGGGCGATTGCTTTCTGAGATCCATCGGAGTATGTGTGCGAAATTACTGCGCCCATCCCATGGCTTGGTTTATCTGCGGTTAGTACAATCTCTTTGGAGGGATCAAAATGAGTGAACAGCAAGTTTGATAACAACAGCGACTTGACCCGTTCGAAGACATTTTGGAATTCTGATTTCCAGTTCCACATTTAGCCTTTGGCTAATAGCTTGTTTAGCGACAGACGCAGGCGGTGCGTTTCAAGCAAGAATGCGCTATAATGGCTGATGAGCTCACAAAAGGAACGCAAGGGCTGTAGAGCTGTGGGTGAATGCTTTTTCTAATGGCTTCTACGCTTTCCGGATCTGGTTGACGTCCGTCCTTTTCAAGGATAAAACCGAGGTATTTGATGATCAGCATGAAAATGTGCATTTATCCTCACGGATCCGGAAACTGTAGGACTGTATACAACCAAGCACTTAATCCAGGCGGTTAAATAATTCTGGTGTTCAACCCATCACAATAATATCATCCAGATATGTAGCGGTTCCAGAAACGCCCGCTAGCATGGTATCCATCAACTGTTGGAAAATGGCTGGCGCCGTTTGTACACCAAATGGCAAACGGTGGTATTGGAATAGCCCACGATGAGTGTTGATTGTCAACAACTCCCTTGAGACTTGGTCAACATCCCTTTGCAGATAAGCATCGGATAGATCAAGCTTGGCAAAATACTTACCACCGTTCAGCTTTGTAAAGATAGCTTTCAGTGCAGGTAATGGGTACTGGTGATCGTCCAGCGCGGCGTTGAGACGAGTTGAGAAGTCACCGCAGACGCGTACCTTGCCATTTGCTTTCTTCACTGCGACAATAGGTGTGGCCCATGATTAATATTTAACTGCTCTAATGACTCAGAGGTGCTCCAGTCGATCGAGTTCTTGAATAGCGGTTGACATGGCTGCATATGGTACCAGTCTTTTAGCCTTGAACACTGGTTTGGCACCTTGTCACAAGTTCAGTGTTGCCTTGAATTTCGTACAATGGCCCAAGCCATCCTAAAAGACAGAGGCAAACTTTCGCTTCAGCGAACGTGTCATGTCTTCGACGGACTTTGATGATGGGTCTGGACTTGCTCGAATTCGGTTGCAGATCTGATACAAGGGAACATCGAGGAGTTGCAACTTTTCAACCCAGTCGAGGCTAAGAAGATACAAATTCGGTCTGTGTGAAATGTAGCACGTCCCCGACTCTTCCGCACCTTGAAAAGCAATCTTGCAAGTAATTTCGCCCACTGTTTAACACGCCGCCGGATGCGTTATATGTCACTTTCTGTGATTTGACTATTTTTAGCCTCTTTATATGATTCCATGTGTTCTTGGAAATAATCATGATATCCGTTTTGTTGGGATCCCCTTGATCAACACGCTGATAAATCGTCATCACGGTTTAAACTCACTTTGGATTGTGGCAACTAGGGACAGAGAATCTGCGCCATCCTTCCTAGAATTCCCCTTTCGATGAGACTTCTTCACGTTCTTCGGTCGGATCTGACTGCAGAATTCCTCCTTATGCCCACACTTATGCCACGTTGGACAAATATGACGTTTGAACGGACATAAGCGCGCGAAATGCCATTCGTTGCATGACCAGCATACTGTGGGTGGTTTGTTTGTAGACCTCTTCAAGGGTTTGCTTGGTTTGACAGACCTGGCC